GGCCACTCCACGTAGTTAAAAGGAGATTTATTTAATGGCGTAACTTACAAATTAAGGAATAGGTAGGTCGCGGAGTCTGGGGAAGGTGTATCACAGTCCAGCGGTGTTCTCTGGAGCTCTGCTCAGTCCACCTCTCCAGTCCAGGGTCCCGCAACAGAGAGAGCGCCCGCCGATCCAGATCTCGGGTCCCCCGGCGCCTCCCTTGGCCCCGCCTTGTAGGCGTGACAGTTGCCGAAGTCTCAATGGGGGTTGGAACTTCCAGATCAAAGCTGGAATGGCTACCCACTACAGTTTTATTATTATTATTATTATTATTATTATTTGTGTGTGTGTGTGTGTGTACCATAGCAAGTATATAGAGGTCAGAGGACAACTTTCAGGAGTTGGTTCTCTCCTCCACCATGTGTGTCCTGGGGATGGAACTCAGATCATCAGGCTTGGAAGCAGACGCCTCTGCCCGCTGAACCATCCTGCCAGATCTCCCTGGCAGGCGTCTTGAAGTATAGAACATTCCAGGTAGAAAGACCAGGACACGAAAAAGATTTAGGGGTAGGAGGCAGGCTTGGTGAATTCCAGGGCCAAGAAAGCCAACACAAGGACAAGGAGAGGAAAGCAGAGTGGCTTGAGAGGAGAGGAGAGAGCCTATTGTGACGGTGACGTGGGAAGGTACCTTTGAACAGTGCGGTTCAGTTTAGAAAGTGTACGTTGCTGCTGTGCAGAGGACAGACTGGGTTCAGAGAGGAAGCAAGGAGACCAGCGAAGGCCGAAAGGGTTCTTCGGCAAAAGAGTATCTTGGTGATTGGGGGCCAAGGAACACCACAAAAACCACACCCCGAAAGGAACAGACCTCACGTAAGAGGTTTGTTGGGGAGGGGGAGGGATGCTGCTTCTAAGTGGGGATGGGGACAGTGACCGGCCAGGTCGTGATGGCAGGCTTCATAGGGGTACGGAGCATGTGCAAAGGGAAAAGATGGCAACAATGGAGTGTGTCGCACTGGCAGTTAGTGATGGTGGTATGTCCAACATTCCTCCCATTGGTTTATTGTAAAAGATAAAGAAATAGGAAGGGATGACTTCTGAGGTTGGAGTGAGGGCCCTGTGCTCATTAGACGGCTTCTTTTCTTTCTGTTGTCTCAGGGATTGCAGGAACAGCAGAATTGACGTGTTATTAACTTTCTTACTAATAGGTTTTCTGTCCCCGAATAATCGGTGTCTCAGCCGATGCAGTAAGACAGATCAAACTGAACTGAAAAGGTATGAGAACAGGTTTATTTGAGCAAAGCAACTCTCGGGTGGCTTCTCCAGTTCCAGATACAGAGGCCAGAGAAGCCGCATGCCTGAACTAAAAGCAGGGAGATTGTATAGCTTGTAGGTGAGAGGTGATGATATGTCTGCCAGAAGCTGGGTTTGTACCCAAGTAGGGTCAAAAGCTGGAATGCTTAGGCAGGGACTTGGGCTGTGGGCAGCAGCAGGGGAGGGAGTTGCAATAGTCACCAGGAATGCGGAACTGGGCTTTTGGTGCCTTTTCTTTGTTGGAGATTCTCTGAGAGGGTGGAGTTTGGAGAGGGAGAGGGAGAGCAAGGGAGAGATGGGACTTTCCCGATCATGCAGGGGCGAGCTGGAGGTTCCAACTGAATACTTACAATGGTTACTTAATTTTCTTTTTCTTTTATTTTTTTATTTTTTTTGGTTTTTCGAGACAGGGTTTCTCTGTGTAGCTTTGCGCCTTTCCTGGAACTCACTTGGTAGCCCAGGCTGGCCTCGAACTCACAGAGATCCGCCTGGCTCTGCCTCCCAAAGAGTGCTGGGATTAAAGGCATGTGCCACCACCACCCGGCTTCTTTTTATTTTATGTGTATGGATGTTTTGTCTCCCTGTATGTCTGTGTCATGCTTGCCCTGTGTCCAAAGAGGCCAGAAGAGGGTGTTAGATCCCTTGGAACCGGAGTTACAGATGGTTGTGAGCCACCATGTGGATGCTGGGAACTGAATCCAGGTCCTTTTGAAAAGCAGCCAGTGCTCTTTACTCCTGGGCCACCTCTCCAGCCTCTTAATTAGTTTTCTTTCTTTCTTGAGGCAGGATTTCTCTTTGTAGCCCCAGCTGTCCTGAAATTTGCTCTGTATGTAATGGCTAAAGTTATGTTTTAAGTTTAAAGTACTGTGCTTCTAACCTATACGCCCCACTTACCCAAGGACAGATAACTTCCTGGAATGCTGAGACGTGTTGTTCATATAAGATAAGAAGCTACTGTTTTTTGCTTCTGTAAAGAAGCTTGATTGCCCCAACTGTACAGGATGTGCTTGATCACACATAGGCAGGAGGTATGTAGGCAGGAAACATGTGCACTTCCTGCCTACGTCAGGACGTATGCTTGGCCTGATTGGATGAAGGCAGGAAGTACATATCCTTGTAGGTTTTGCCTTCATAAGCCTCTGACGAATGTAATTTGGTGCTAATGGGCATGGACCTGGTGAATGTCCATCATTCTGACCAGAATTTAATAAAGTTTGCTTCAAATTTGGCTCAAAAATTATGGTTGTGGTCTTATTCTTACCCAGTGGGATTAACATGTAAACCATCCTGGACTCAAACTCAAGGATATATCTGCCTCAGCCTCAGGAATGCTAGGATTAAAGGTCTGGGCCACCACTACCCAGTTAGTTTTCTTACCTTAAAAAAAAAGTATGAGTAAGTTATTTTCCTCTAAATTATATTATGCTTACCTGAGTAATGTTCAGTCTTCCACTTCCATCTACTTGCACAGCCATACAAAAATTCCAGTAGATATTCCTGCTCATTTGACACTAAATGACTACCGATTTCATGTCTCATTATTAAGCTGTTAGAATCTCCAATAAGGGATAATCTCACCAACCAAGGCAATTGTTTTTCCAGAACAGTAGTAGTGGCACCTAAATGCCCTCTGTGTGTCTTTTGAGTGTGATAATTAAGTCAGTCAAAGGTGGAGAGATCTATTTTTTTTTCCAAGACAGGGTTTCTCTATGTAGCCCTGGCTGTTCTGGATCTTGCTCTGTAGACCAGGCTGGCCTCGAACTCAGAGATCTGCCTGCCTCTGCTTCCCAAGTGCTGGGACTAAAGGTGTGCCTGACTGAAGCAACCTATGTTTTAAAAAATTTATTCATTTTATGTGTATGAGTGTTTTGCCTGCGTGTATGTCTGTGTACCACATGTGTGCCTGGTGCCTGAGGAGGCTGGAAGAGGGCATCAGATTTCTTGGAACTGGAGATGGATGGCTGTGAGCCTCCAGGTGGGTACTGGGAATTGAGCCCAGGTCCTCTGAGAGAGCAGTCAGTGCTTTTACTGCTGAACTATCACTCCAGCTCACAACCTAATCTTTTATAAAGGTCTTTCACTACCCAGAACTAAACTAAACTTAATTAATTTTTTCTACAAAGTGTCACACTAAAATTAGTAATGGTGATGGAAAAAAGTTCCCTGTGGTATGGAGAAACAGTTGTTCCTATTAGAACAATGACATTAAAACTGTACATTTGGATGTGTAAATCAGAGGGTACAGTTGTTGGGGTCAGAGCCTGGCAGCCTTAATAAACTAGAATCAGCTACCAGTCCTCATAGGCCAAATTTAAGAAGCAAGTAAAAGAGGTAAGGCAGCCGTGGCTCCCACCTCTAATCCTAGTGCTGAAGGGGCAAGGCAAGAGGATCGATCACCCGGAATTTGAGGGGGGCCAGCCTGAGCTACAGAGTGAGACCCTGATTCAAAACACAGCGAAACACACAACAACAGAAACCAAGGAGAGAATGACTAGCTAAAAGCAGGGACCACAGGCACTCCCCTCCTGCCAAGTCCGTCTTTGAGGGCCTGACCTAAGGCTCTGATTTAAATCGCAGGCAGAGGGAGGAACAGCTAAGCAGTCCTGGTCAAGGTGTGGTCCTGCCTGTCACTGACCCACCATGGTCTTGGCTCCAGTGTGTCCTACAAAGTGGACTGGCAAGCTGTCAGAACGGTGTGGAACCTCTTCCTGGAAGACAGTCCCCCCCCTCTCCTGGTCTGGCACAGCCTTCAGCCTTTTCCTTCTTCCAGCATGAGAGAGAGTCTTGGGAACATTCCAATTTCTTAGGGACCATTGTTTCAATAGTCTAATAGGCAAAGAAAGGGGCACAGTGTCTCTCTTTAGACTAGCTCCGCTCCTGGCAGGTGGGTACCTACTTTGACAAACTAGCTAAGAAAAATCTCAGAATTACTCTGCACCACACCTTCCTTTTCTGTTTCTTTAGAATTCCTCTTCTGGTGACCATGGCCTGGCTTCCTGGAATTCATCTTAGTATTCTCTTTTCTGGCCACACAATTGAAACTTTGTTTTCTCCTTCCTATACTCCAGACTCTCTCTCTTTCATTTTCTTTTCTTTTTTGGAGACAGGGTTTTTCTGTATAACTTCGCTGGCTGTCCTTGAACTCATTTTGTAGACCAGGCTGGCCTTGAACTCAGAGATCTGCCTGTTTCTGCCTCCTGAGGTGTGCACCATCACCACCTGGCTACTCTAGACTTTCTTGTTTTCTATAATCCCCAGTTAAAAGTTCAGGTGTTGGCCGGGCAGTGGTGGCGCACACCTTTAATCCCAGCACTCGGGAGGCAGGGGCAGGTGGATCTTTGTGAGTTCAAGGCCAGCCTGGTCTACAGAGCAAGATCCAGGAAAGGTGCAAAGCTACACAGAGAAACCCTGTCTTGAAAAACAAAACAAACAAACAAAAAAGTTCAGGTGTTTCAGATGTGATCCATGGTTGAAGGGTTTAAAACGTTTTAAATTTATTTTTAAGGGTCTCATATAGCCCAGGCTGGCCTATGTAACTATGTAGTTGGACTTCTAATTCTGCTGTATCCACCTCCCAAGTGCTAGGATTACAGGCACATGCTATTCCTGGTGCCTGTATGGAATCTTGTGCTGGTGCTGGCGATGGAATCTTGGGCTTCACGCACTAGGCAAACACTACCGACTGAGCTACATTTAGTGGCCCCCGGGAAGGCTTTTAAGTCTTTATCTCTTATTATAGGTTAATCTTATACGGGCTGGAGAGATGGCTCAACAGTTAAAAGAATGTGTAACGTTTGCAGCCAGCCTTTCCTAGCACCCATGTCTGGTGGCTCAAAGCCTCCTGTAACTCCGGCCAGCTATAGGAGATCGATGCCCACTTCTGGCCTCCACAAAAATCACTTTCAATATAGCACATACAACACCTAGAGAAAAACACAATCTTTTTCAAAAGTTGAATCTTCTAGAGGTTAAATCTTACCATTTGTCTTTTGTTGCAGTTTCCATCTAGCCTAAAGGTAGCCAACCTCAAATGGGGGCGATCAGGTAGATGGTCCCCTTGTTTGTGCCGTCCAATGACTGCCACGGCCACCAGCTGTCCATCTGGGGCGGTTGTCTTTCTTGTCCCACTTAAGAGCTCCTTCAGAGCATGTGAGCCTGTGCTATATTGAAAATCACTTCTGTTATTCAACAGCTCAATCGGAAAGTGGCAGGGTCACATTTCAGGTCCTCTTCAGAGACACATGTTGGACACTGAAAGAAAACTGAGGCTATATTATACTGGATTGGACGAAGTCAGGACCACCACCAGGCCACCTACGTGTTATGCACGCTTAGAAGGTTCAGGAATTGTTACTACAAGCTGTATTGGTTTCTCCAGGTCCCAGTGGGGGGTAGGGCGGAGAGTTGGTCCCAGCTGGCCCGCAGTGGGGGCGTGGCCACCGCGGCCTCACGCACTCGCGTCTGGCCGGGCTCCGCCCCCCCTCGAAGCGCGGTGGCTTTCGGGGCTTGTAGTCCCAAGGCCTACCGGAAGGCGCGCAGGGCAGGCGTTCCTGCCTGTCTGTGCTTGAGGTCACCTCTCTTGAGCGCTCCCTCATTCTCAGGCGTGGCCTCCTGGAGCGCCACGGCCCTCGGCTGCTCCGTCGCGCGCTTCTGGTGTTTCAATAAAGTTGTCCTCCCTGTGCGGAGCTCAAGATGGCGGCCTCCTGGTCGCCCTTGGTTACCCTGCGCTCCGCCGCGCGCAGCCGGCTGACGGGGAGAGGTGTTGGGTGCGGGGCGCGGGCCGTCGCAATCCCTCCTCCGGCCCCTGGCCCCGGGAGCCCCCTTTGGAAAGGTCAGTGACCGTGTCACGAGCGGGCCGCGCAGGCTCTGGGGTCACCCCGCTCCCCGATCCCTCCCAGCTGCACAGCTGCACCCCCTGGCCCCGCAGGTTGTAAGGATCCGCGAGGAGAGTTTGTGTCCCCTGACCTCTGGTGCCTCGTTGTCCCGAAGGAGCTCTGAGCACCCCGGGCAGCTGTCCCCCCTCCCCCCCGAGTTTAACCTCCATCTGAGGGTCAGAGGTCCACCCAGTTCCTCCCTAGGCCGCTGAGAGCTGGAGAGCGCAGGTGTGCAAGTGCCCGGCTTGGAGGGATGGGGTAAGCAAGTGTGGAGTTGGTGGCCGGGGACCCGGCACCACCAGGTTCCAGGCTGGTAATGGGCTTACGAGCTATGCCACGGACCCCGTGCCCCCTCCCCGCCCCCATTCTAGAGGCAGGCTCAAATGTTCCTGGATTCCTAATGTTCCTTAATTCCTGGAGGCGTCAGTTTTGGTTTTTGTTTTTTTGGTCACAGCCCTTGGATTCATTCGTTCTACTGTTGTGTGTTCGTGCATAAGTGGATAATATGTTGACTAACCAAGTCCACAAGGGTGCTAATTTATTGTTTGAGACATGGTCTCGCTGTGGGGTGCAGGCCGACCTGGAACTGGAGACCCTCCTGCTTCAGTTTCCCAGAAGTGCTAATTTTATCGCTGTGTTCACTGAACTGCTGGTTACACTAAAAGACATCAAACCCTGTGCCGTTGTGTCCCCAGCACTTAGGAGCGTGGTTGGTGTCTTTTCGAATGAATGACGTTATTATTCTCATGGTCTTCCCCCATCCACAATTGTGTTTTTCCTCTTCCCATCTCCAGGTGCCTCTTTATATACCTTAGTAAGTTGATAGAATTTAACAAAGTATGTGACTTAATACTGATTCTCATCATCTCAAAATAGGTTTCCGTCAATCACTGAAATTTTACTAGAAGAGGACCAACGCCTACCACTTGTCCTCATTCTCTCTCTCTCTCTCTCTCTCTCTCTCTCTCTCTCTCTCTCTCACACACACACACACACACACACACACACACACACACACACACAGAGTTTTTTTTTTAATAAAGTAAAGATATTCCCTTCCATTTTCTAAACAAGTGAAATATTGAAGTTTAAATCTGATCCGTTGAGTCTGGTTTACAATTTTCTGCCCCTTTCTTGACCGTCCCCCCCCACGTGACATCAAGAAATACCCCCCCCCCCCCCGGGGGGGTATTTAGTATTCACACTTCTATTTTATCTCCATTTTTTTTTTCTTGTTTGAAGTTTCATTTGGAAAACATTGGCTTAAACAAAGGAAGGAAATCAGTAATGGAAAAGAATATAAGGAAAGGAAGGGCAGGCTTTTGCTGATGTTTGGCTCTGCTGTGCTTGACCTCAAGGTCTCCTGAGGGCTAGCCGAGCCCTTCCCACTGAGCTCTTGCGTTCCCTTCTCTTTTTTGAGATGTGCTCTCACTTGCATCCTGGGCTGGCTTTGAGTTCACTCTAGTTCAGGTGGGGCTCGAACCCTGAAGCCCTCCTTCTTTAAACTCCTGAGTAGCCGGGATCGCAGGCCCTGCACCGCCACGTCATTCCTTAATTACTTTTTTTTTTTTTTCCCGAGACAGGGTTTCTCTGTGTAGCTTTGCGCCTTTCCTAGAACTCACTCTGTAGCCCAGGCTGGCCTCGAACTCACAGAGATCCGCCTGGCTCTGCCTCCCGAGTGCTGGGATTAAAGGCGTGCACCACCACCACCACCACCACCACCACCACCACCACCACCACCACCACCGCCCAGCTCCTTAATTACTTTTTAACACTTACTTATTCTGTGTGTATGAGTGTTGGCCTGCATGTGTGTATGTATACCACATATATGCCTAGTGTCTGCAGTGGTCGGAAGAGGACGTCAGATCCCCTGGAAATGGAGTCACAGACAGTTAGAAGCTGCCATGTGGGAGCTGAGAACCAGGCCTGGGTCCTCTGCAAGAGCAGCCAGTGCTCTTAACCATGGGCCATGTCTTTAATTCCCTTAATTTTGTTTTTAATGTCTTATGTTACTTTAATGCTAAGCATGGTTCAGCCATTTTGTACACTCAACCTTGAAAAGTTTTTGGGCCCTTAGGAGACACAACATTATGAATTTTATTTTGGGATATGCAATTTTCCATTAGGTGGATTTGGGTATTTTCTGTAATTTAAACGATTGATTTCACTGCCTGTTTTCTTTAGGTCTCAGTAAATCTTCACTAACTGTGCAAGTTTTAAACCTCTTCCCCGCCCCCTTGCCCCCCTCCCCCCAAAAAAAGACAGGGTTTCTCTGTGTAACCCCTGCTGTCCTGGAACTTACTCAGTGGACCAGGCTGACCTCGAACTCACAGAGATCCGCCTGGCTCTGCCTCTCGAGTGCTGGGATTAAAGGCGTGTGCCACCACTGCCTAGCTGTTTTAAATCTCTTAATAGTTAGAAGGAAGACTTTTATTAGACAGCAAAGTGCCATCTGTGGTTCGGGTGGTAATCATAACGCTGTTGTCGGTTCATAACATCACAGCAGGTTTGAGCCAGCCTGAGCTACGTAATGAGTTCAAGTCGAGCTCTGCCTCAGCAAATGAATAAACACCTAAGGACGACAACAAAAATCATAGTGGCCAGGGTATGGGTAGAAATGTGACAACACTGTTAATTCAGTTTAAGTCTTGTACTAAATGTCAGGAGATGTGTGAATGAACTGGGTCCTAGCACTTGGAAGGGAGAGTTATGATACCTAACATTTGAGAGCTAATATGTGATGGGCCCTTTCTTTTTTTCTTTTATATGTATACATGCACACACACACACACACACACACACATACACACACATTTACATACATTCATACACACATATATGTGTGAACCAGGGCCTTGGCTAGAGCTGGCCTGAAACTCACTTGCTGCGTCATTCTCTAGGCTGGCTTCAGACTTGCAGCCCCCATGTCTTGGCCTCCCAGCTGTGGTTACAGGTGTGAGCCACCAGGCCCAGCTGAGCCTTTTCTGTGTTCTCGGCAGACTGCTAGTCATTTCTTTTTCTTACACCCTGAGCGTCGTTTGTTTGGTTTTTTTTTTCAGCCAGGTGTGGAGAGAACAGCCATGACCCTTGCTGGTTTTTATGGTTCTGAGGGAGAGCAGCCAGAGATGAAGCTGGGATGGGGAGCTGCCGTTGGTTTCAAAGAGCTGTTGATGCCAAGGGAGCTGTCGAAGCTTAGGGAGATGCTGTGGAGCTTTCTTGGGAAGAGCTGTGGGCAGATCTGTTTCAGCACGAGTGCTCCCAGGGCTGCCTGGAAACATCAGGATGCCGGCCGGCATGGGGGACTGAGACAGGGTGGGAACTTGGAAGTTCAAATCGTTGAGAAGGCGGTTTGGCTAGGCCTAAATTGTTGCTATGGTGAAGGGCAGGGTGGCCAGGAGGGCATTCAGAGATGGCCGATTGATAGATGGGACTAGTCCTGCAAGAGATAAGGAAAATCTGTTTTCAATGTGGAGTTCCCAGTTTGGGTGACTAAGTCAAAACAGAAAAAGAGCCCCAAAGGAGCAGTTCCATTTTTTGGCTTTAAAAGTTCTTTACAAAATGACCCGGGTCCCGAGGAGGGGGGCAACAAGCCGAGCCATCTCCCCACCCCAAGGTTCGGTTTTGACTCGTTAAACTCGGGGTGTTTGTGATGGTGCTAGGCAGCTGAGCCCAGGTAGTTATGGGATGGGAGAGGGAGGAGGAAATCGACTGGGCAGCTGTGGAGAGCAGAAAGTGCAAAAAGTGAGTCCTAAGGAAGATGTGCATGTTATGGAAAGAAGATGCTTCCAAGACATGGAAGACATGGAGAACTGGGGTGTACATCAAAAGGAGGGCATCTCCAGGTTTTCCAAAATACAAAAACTTCTGTCTAAAATTCTGCTTTATTTAAGCTAGCCTAGGGAAAATGTGTTTCCTAGAGGCAAGGGACTACGGGATCAAATCTCAGGACTTCTTTGTTACAGCACCTAGTGGAGGCATTGCTGTTAGATGGTAACTCCTCTTTTACCTCCAGCTCACAATCTCATCCTCAGGACATGAACGGAAGATCTTCCTAATGAGAGTGGAAGTAGCTCCTGTTTCACCGTGTGGCTTGGTAGAGTTATTACTAGTGCAAAATGGTCTTAGGACTTATTTTGTGTGTGTGTACGTGCGTGCGTGCGTGCGTGCGTGCGTGCGTGTGTGTGTGTGTGTGTGTGTGTGTGTGTGTGTGTGTGAAAGTGGAGGCCAAAGGTCAACTTTGGGTATTGTTTCTCAGGATCCATCTACCTGCTTTTTTGAGAAGGAGTGTTATGAGACCTAGGTCTCCTGAGTAGAGTAGGTTGGCTGGCCAGTGACCTGTAGGGATCTACTTGTCACCTTCTCAGCACTGGATTGTAAACATGGACTGACTACTCCCATGCCAGACTTTTTACGTGGGAGCTGGGACTAAGGGCAGGTCCTTATGCTTGTACATTAGCCCTGTGGACATCCTTCGTAGTTCTCAATTTGGTGACTGTTTGGATGTGAAACAATTCAAATCCATTAGCATTTATTATTAGAGATAAGTATTCATACCCACTCTTTTATTTTTTTTTGTTTTTCGAGGTAGAGTTTCTCTATGTAGCCCTGGAACTGGATCTGTAGACAAGGTTGGCCCTGAACTCAGAGATCTCCTGCCTCTGCCTCTCCTGAATGCTGTGTGAATCTCTTAAGCACATCACAGTGTACTGATTCTTCTTTAAACAATATTAGTGTGTGTGTGTGTGTGTGTGTGTGTGTGTGTGTGTGTGTGTGTGTGGTGTTTGGGTGTACAAGCTGTGACCCTCATATGGAGCTCAAAGGACAACTCTGGAGTCGGTTCTCCCCTTCCATCTCTATGCGGGTTCCGAGGATGAGACTGGGGTGTCAGGCCTGTGCGCCCGGCACCTTTACCGGCTGAGCCTCCTTGTTGGCCCAGGCTAGCCCTTCTGATTTC